TAAAGAATGGCAGATGCTGGCTTGAAGCACAGATACAAGAGGGTTCAAAAATAATTTCCCGGGCTTCCCTGGTGGCACAGTGGTTGAGAGTCCGCCTGCCGATGCAGGGGACATGGGTTCGTGCCCCGGTCCGGGAAGATCCCACATGCCGCGGAGCGGCTGGGGCTGTGAGCCATGGCCGCTGAGCCTGTGCGTCCGGAGCCTGTGCTCCGCAACGGGAGAGGCCACAACAGTGAGAGGCCCGCGTGCCACACACACACACACACAAATTTCCCAAGCTAACAAATTCTCAATACATCATTAAAACGGAGTTACACTCTATCTTTCTGCATGACATCTCCTTTCGTTTTGTTGCCATTTACAGATTATAAAAAATACAGAGATCTTTGGTCTAATGCAATATCTGTGTATGTATCTATTTAATCATCTATCTATCATCTATGTATTCATCTACCTAACCATCTATCTACCCATCCATCTAATCGTCTATCTACTGATCATCTGTCCATCCATCCATCCATCCATCCAATCGTCTATCATCTATCTATAGCATATATCCATCTCTCTATCATCTATCTATTTATATCTCTGAAAGTTTCTGGTGATTTCTCAGGCCTTTGATGAGTCAGCTGGTAGTAGATTTATATCTAAGTGTTGGAGAACAAAAGACTCTTGGTGCAAAGGTGAGTGGAAATGAGTTTGAGGAAAGATAGTGGCCTTTGGATATAAGGAGTGTAAGGCACTATAAATGTGAAAATATAAGTGCTAGTAATCAATTGTAGTTATATACAAAATTACTATGTACATAACTTTTATATTATTATACCTAATATAATATATACAATTTATATACAATTGTGTGCAAGGTATACAATAATATACAATGTTATAATTATATTAATTTATGTCTTATATTAACATAAGATAATAGTTATTATTAATATAATTAGTGTTATAGTCTATATATTCTATTCTATATTATATACTACATTATTATATAAAAAATTGAGATCAGGAATGAGTTCAAACATTAATAGACAAGAAAGCATAACAAACAAAAATTCTTCGTTTTATACAGAGAAAAGAGTAATAAAGTGAAATAAACCCAAGGTAATAGAAAAGAACAATGATGTCCAGAACTTTATAACAAGGAAGGAAGAGAAACAAGGGGGACGTGAGGTGGTCTGGGAGGCACGTGTTTGAGGACTTTGGGGGCTGCCTAAGTAACCCACGTACACGTTCACCTAGACAAGCCCAGGCTGGCACATCGACTCCAGTTGAGCCACAGACACTAGTCCTAGATCTGACGCTGAGGAAGAGAGAATCTGCTCTTCACTGAACATCAGTAGTTCAGTTTTGCCCTTTGAATTTCCAAACTAACACCTCTGGCCTTACTTCTCTTATCTAACACATTGCACCTCCCTCCCCCTCTTACCATCATACTTCTAATGCAACGCTTCTAAGAAGATCCACCCCAAACCCTACCCAGCCTATCTTGCGTGCAGGTGCCTTGAATTTTTCTTGAAGTTCCTGCGCGGTGTGTTAGGCTCTGTGAACACTAATCACACACACTTATTCCATGTGTTAGATGACTAGCTATTTGCTTTACAGGAAAAATCTGGAGCCATGGAACGCAAAGAGGGGGAATATCACTAAATCCAAGTATTCCAGTAGTAGGGATAAGATTTCACAGTTAAATAAATGATTAAAGTCACCAGGTGAATAACTTTATTATTCAGTGGCTCTTGATTTCACAGCTGTAACAACAGAGATGGCAAATACCAAGGACTCCGCTTGGATTTTCTTTACAGAGGAAAAAACCCCCAACCACTCCAAACACTTAAAAATAAATTAAAACCACACCATTTCCTTTGGAAAGAAAAGATTTTTATGAACTGTGACCATTCTTGCAAAGGAGTCAGAATCCTGCCTTCCAGCTTCTTAGTGAGTCACTACATTTCCTTCATGTGTGCAGCTCACTGGAAGGTTCTCAAAGGAACAGACAATTACCTCTCCTCCAGCACAGAGGTTTTTGGTCCTAGCAGAAAACTCACAATGTACTTCCAGTATCCTTGTTTTTCCTAGCTCCATGCTTGAAAAAAATGAAGCGTCTGTATTGAGACAGTTTAAAATACATATAGACAAACTTAACATAACTAAAATAAGGCTTGTCCTTCAAAGTAGTCACCTTGGGTTTTCCACACTTGCCCAAATAACACTGTCATGGTTCAAAAGATTTTGGGAAGCCTGCTTTGAGTATTGCCTTTACAAGACAATTAGGCTCAATGTTACAGCTCCATATACCGGTTTTGACTAATAATGTTTCCTAGCTTAACCATCTGCTTGACAGCAGATAACTTTTGGTTTGCAAAAATCAGGTGCATTCCCCCAGGGCAGTGGTGACTCTCGCCGCCGCTGGGGAGAGTCAGAGCAGTGCAGAATAGACTCTGAGGGCAATTAAACATGGAAGCACTACAAACTTGTGCAAGGGCCTCACTGGAAGACGTGAGTAGCCTCTGAGTATGTTCTGGAGAGGGGATCACACTTATTTGGGGGTAGCAGTTGTGATATGAGTGATAACAAAACAAAACGAGAAAACCAACCACATTATAATTTCATTTATAAAACTTAATTATATGCATCCATAAGCCTCACTCAGTCTCAAGTTTGAATAGCTAGCTAAAAATGGGATTTTTCAACATTCCTCGAAAAATTTTGATCAGAAATTTCCATTTTCAGTTGTTTTAATTCAAAAGCTCTAATAACCAAGATTGTGCAATAAAAATTTGTTATGACGTCAAATTAATTGAGGAGAGAAATAAAATGGTCTCATGTAAGGTATTTTCTCTCAAGTACTAAAAAAAAAAAATCCACTTAGACATATAACCAAATGTTATTTAATATCTTAAAAAGTAACACAATCCAAAATGGATATTTCACGCAACACTACATAAACATGAACACAATATTACCATATGGAGGGACTTTCAAATATAGACTTACAAAAATCCCTGTGCTTTTTTTTCTTTTAAGTTATTATACTAAGCATGACAAGTAATCATCATTTACAATATGGTACACTGACACGATAAAAACCATGTTACAAATGTGCTGTTATAAATCAGTAACATTAGGGAAGACATTTCATGAACTGTAATTATTTCATATGAAATACTATACAATATAAACAGAACATCCATCTTGGATGACCTTTACAGCAACCAGAGACCAAGTAATTTAAAAATTTTTTTTTCAGTGCAAACACATTTTATTCAAGGCAGTCTTGGCTGCAAAACTCCTTTCTAACATACAGTAAATCCCACTTGCACTTCTTAATTCATTTACCCTAATGCAATAGTCACATTCAGTCACTCAGAGAAAGATACCTGCAGAATTATGATCCCTTTAAACTTAATGTTGAAATTTAATTCTCTTCTAGACAGTTGTATCTACGTCAACTACGCTAAGGACCTTAATTTGTAGCTGTCAGTACTTACATGAAGGTGACCCTAGGGCAGCTCTAGTCCTAACCCATCCTTGTGTGCACAATACCACACACTGCTTTGCCCTTCCAAAGTGGAAACCACGGCGGTGTATCGGTATGTAAGTGGGGGGATGGGAAGGAGGCAGGGAGGGTGGACCTCGGAAGCAAGGAGCCGTAAGTGCGTACACCAAGATGAACTTCCTGTAACTGCAGAGGATTCGTGTTGGAGGAGACCTCAGATCTCAGATTTGGTAGCTCTTTTTGGTGGGCGCAAGGGAATAGGCATGCCAAAGCCAGTCTCTGGACAGGGAGGGAGGCAGCCGTACACGAACCAAGCAAGCTCTTAGCCTTACACTGGCTTCCAGAGTCATTGCTGCCTCACCTAGGAAACCCCCTTTCCCTAGTTGGCAGGGCGTGTGTGTGTGTGTGTGTGTGTGTGTGTGTGTTCACATTTGAAGCCAGCAACGAGCAGACAAAGCCCTGTAACTGATCATAAATATACAATCATTATCAGAAGCTTTAGTTCCCCTTGTGCCTTGCAGAATTCTGAACCTTGCAAATCAGCAGCTGTAAGTCCTAGAACAAGTGTAAGAACACAGGATTCTGTGTGAGAGGGGCACTGGCTGGGGAATCCTTCCCTTGGGATGTTGCTGTAAAAGACGCAGAGATTAACTCCATCAGGGAGACGCCAATGTCTATTTCCAACACACCAGGAAATTTAATAACGAACTTTCTCATGGATGTAACTTATGAAATGTCTCCCAAATAAAAATCTATGGCAAAACATTGGATGTATCCTTAATACTGTAAGACCTTCCGAGAGAGTTGACAGAGTGATGGCTGATTCTTTTATCTTACTTGGCAAAGATCAGACTGATAGTAACCTCTTTCCTGCCCGTATTTTACTAACCCAGAGCAAAGCCATGTCTTCCATGGCTTTTGCATTCATTTTTCCTGTGTTCTAGCTTCCTCAAGCCCTCAACGTGTGCAGAAATTTGCTCAACAGAAGAGTATGGGTGGGAGGGGCCTGGGGGGCTGGAGAGTGGGGGGGAAGGAAGGGATCGCTTCTGCGGGGGTCCACTGTCACCTGACAGCGCGCTGGTTCTGTGACTGGCCTGTGATACACGGAGAAGGTCCCCGACCAGGATCTTTCATCTCATAATTTGAGAAAAAAACGCTTAGAACTAGATCAGCTTCCCTGGGAAATCCAGATTCTTCAAAGTAGGGCTCAATAGAGTGTACTGAATTTCAGTTGTGCTAATGAGAAGCACTGTGGAGAGAACTTGATAACGTTTTTAATGCAAATTTCTGTCTCAGCACCTTCCACTGACAGGAGCAGTCATGTTCCTGAAAGACAGTGTTTTAGCACGGGATTTAGAGAAGCCCAATATGAAACTGTAAACAAGGGTGTACGTCCAGATCTACCTTGGACCACAATAGCATTTGGGTGGATTTCTGTAAAATTCCCAACACCCTGAACTTTTTGAATGAAAATGGACAAAAGTATCAAGTTGTATTCGTTTTCTTTGACTTTATTAGCACACATCAGAAAAATAGCATTGTATTTCGTGATTTCTCATGATGGTCTATCAAACAGATAGAAAATAGATCACTGATAGCTGCCACTGTGTTTCCGGGTAATCTTATGTCACTCCTCCTGTTTATTCATTTCAAGTATAGGTATTACAAATATGACCTGCTTTGTTAATTGTGAATCCGAATGCTTTGGAAGCACTTTGAGATCCCAGAATGAGTTTGCAAAGTCCTCATAGGTTGTTGTTGGTTTTTAATCAAGCTCCAAATACTGCCCGTGTTATAAATTGTTAGACTTTTCAAATCAAGATCACTATTGTACTGTGAGCAATATGCCTTTCATTTAAGTTAAAAACTTTATTTTCAAGTACACTTTGTGGTGATAAGTGGCTTATCCTGGGTAGAATTTTACAAAGCTGTGCCAACCTAAAAAACAAACAATGCTTTTGTTACGGCTGAACAGGTTTTTTTTTTTTCTCCCCATGGTGACTGCAATATAATTTAAATTTATATTTTAGAAATGCTGGTTGGGTTATGAAAAAGGGAGACTGGGGAACAGTTGGTGTTCAGATTGTTGTGACTCCAGATTAACTCTCAATGGATGCTTCCTGAACTTGAACTTCACAACATTGGAGAAGCCTTCATTTGTTACTTTTATCCAGCTAAGTCCTTTTTCTGCTCTTCTTATTTGTTTCCTTTTTTTGATGGACCCCTCCCCCTTTTCATATGCTTATGAAGGTCCCCTGAGATGTGCAAAATATATAAAATGAAATACGAATTATGGAACAGAAGTTGTGGATACAACGCACAGCTCTTTTAATTCAAATGAAGTCTGAGCTCGATATGGTAGCATGCAAGTAGTGAGGCCCAAAGTGCTTCAAAGTTGGCAGTCCAAATTTCTGGTGTGTCTTGTGACCGAAAACCTAGAATTCAGATCAGATTTTATAGGAGTCAATAGCTTGCTAAATTATGTTTATCAAGTGGCTCTTCGCCGGAGAGAACTCATAGCAGGAATGAGGTCCGGGGCTGGTGGCAGGAGCCGGGGCAGGGGGGACAAGAAATTTAAACTTCCTTTTTTCATTCACAACAAATTCAAGTGTGCTTTCATGGGGAAGAAGAGAGACAGGTTTACAGACGAGAGTGAAATAATGCCGTCAGAGAAAAACCATGGCAATGAAACAGTCACAAGTCCACATAATCACTGACACACACACAGAACGCCATGGCCTAATGGTTAAGAAAGTTTTCAACTTTGCTTTTCCAAACAATACACTTGAACGCACTGCTGCCGCTTCATCAAATTTATGGAGGTAGTTATATGTAAAAATAAAAATTACCATAAAGTAATATGCTGTATCATAATAATACATACGTGTGCAAAATGCCGACAGATGGGTTGACCCTCTAAAGTTGAACACTACACAGAGATTCAACCAGATTCAGTTTTGTAAACCTTTCAGTTGATAAACTCTAAGTGAAGTCTAGATAAGCAGCCATGGGCCACAAAGCTATCGTTTCCTGGAGGAAAAGGATGCTGGCAAAGCTTGGAGTGGGTCACTGAGAACATCACTGCAGACCATCTAGGGTCATATTTGTAATGTGCTTCCCGCCACCACTTCTCCCCCGTTCAAGAATCCCGATTCGATTCAGACGGGCATATTTCTACGTGGAACGTCTGCTCACATCATATCCTCTTTGAAGTCCATCATTTCTATGCTAATGGCTGCTGGTCTAAGGGAGTTTTTTTTTTTTTTTTTAATCATGTACCTCATAGCATCAGGCAAAGCGTGGTACACATTTTATTCCAATGTCTTCTGTAAGCCTATTTCTTGTGAAATATTGATAAATTCGTATTTTAAAGCTTCTCTTAAAGGTAATGCTTTCCTTTCCTGTTCACACAGTATTTGATTATTATAATGGCTACTTTAGGAGGATCAACTAGAGGCTGATGTATTGTTTCAATGGTTCTATTATTTAGGAACTGACAGTGTGACAGACGCTGGAGGGCAGGGTTTTGGGGAAAAAAAAGAATTTAGAAGAATTTAGTAATTGTGTGGCATACAACTCCCCAAGGAAACAGACTCTGTATATAGTCTATTCGATACGTTATCATTCCTCCCAGACAAATTTAAGCAGTGAGAGAAGAGTGCATTTCTGAGCAATCAAGGCATGCCTTGGAGGAAATAAGGCATGAGACTGAAAGCCAACTGACTTAAGCATCTTAAAGGTGTGGGAGTTTGCCAAGAAACGTGCTCACGTTTCACTATAAGCACAAAAAAAGGAATCTATACTGAACTTGGTGAGTCCAGTTTGACCCAATGCAACTTCCAGATATCTGAAAAAGCATGAGGAAGGACCCCAATGTTTCAAGAAACAGTTCAACTGTGTATATGACTCCACGCTTTAAACAGATGCCTAGTGATTCAACCTAATACCGAAGCAGAAGTGTTTCACAGATCCTATGCCAATTGCTGAAATCTGAGGTGAAAATTTTTGGATACATATTTTACGGTATATGGCTCCAAACATCACATGCCACTTAACTAAATAAAACTTTTTGTCAGACCATTTACTTGTGTCACATGTAACCCTTTTGTGAATAATTTTCCGTTATCTATAGATTTATTCCATGGTTCTCATAAAATAAGACATGGGAACTTGGAGGTGCCTCTTTCTTAGAAGGCTGAATCTTGATTATTTGTAATCCCTTTGCTGCTGAGAACCTTCTTTGTATTCAACATGACATATTGTAAACCAAAGCAAAATGTTAACAAACCATTCTGAAATAAGTTGGGCTAAAAACTATACATCTGCCTAAAAATGCCTCCTGAAACTGGTTACGAAGTATCTGTAAACATTACTCTGGCATAGTTCATGTATGCATAATTGTTATTCTAATAAATTTTAGGGGCGTACAAGTTAGGATGGCATCACACTCGCAGAATGATCACATTCTGTTGTTAATTACATGGGCACATGTATATTTCTAATCAAAACGTATTTTAAAGTTTTCTCTATAGATATCTTCCCAGGAATAAAAGGCCTGAAGTTCAACTCCCCCTAAATTTGCTCTTTCCTATAACCACTAAAAATTATCTCCCACAGCCTAATTTAGGCATTCTATTTAAAACTACATAAAATAGATTTATGTCCTTCCATTAGAAAGAATAACGTCCCCAGGCCGTAGTCTTCATTTGTATCACAAAGAACATTTTGATTTTAAACAAATTATCATATCTATTATAGCAAGATAGCATCACCGTCAAGTATCACAAGGAGGAAATGATCTTCCTTCAGTATCTGATGAACACCTCTACAGGTCCCCATTACCTCTCCCATCACTTAGTGCTGTGCCCCAGCCAGGCTGGGAGACCCTTCCTTTGTCCATTTCAGATTCAAAGGCCTATATTCCTGTTTGTGATTATGGAAGTTTAAAAAAATCAGACAAGCATCCGTGACACTTAAAATCCTGAAAACAAACACTCCCAGTATTTGGATCACGACCCCTTCTGACACGCTTCCATGGGCTCCTGCAAAATCTTGTCACGAAAACTCACAGTGCAAAATGACTGGGGCCTAAACGATTCACACACGATGGGCTGGGGTCCCCTTTAGTCAGTTTGGCATTGATTTCCCTAAAGGTAGACCCTTGCATTTGACATTTTGTGGGGGCTTAGTGTTTGTTTTGTTTTTTGGTTTTGGAAGTGTCAAGGATCAGTGTTCTGTGGCAGCACTCGGTTACAGGCTGGGAGCAACACACATCTGTGGCATTTTAGAATGGACTTGGCAACCGCATGACATCGAAAATGCATATTACACTGACAGTGTCTAGACTTTCCTATGTGTGCTCAGTTAACAATTAGTGAAGCAAAAGTACACATATCACCCCTACTGCTATTCTTGTTGCTACAGAGCCATAAATGCGAAAAGCAATACTCTGAAATGAAGATTTTGTTGTTGTTGTTTTCTGCCCTAGCCTACTTAGCAGCACAGTTTAAGTCAACACAAAAACTGCCGTTGAGATGCTTGTCTTCCCGAAGATGTAAACAACAGTCCCAGTGCCGTAAACTTGGCTGTATCGAATGAGACAGGAGATCTGAGGCAGAATGACTATCACACGCTAGTAACAGAAGCTTGCAAGCAGCTGGAAGGTTTCTGTAATTTCTCAGCTTCATTTGTGGGGCTGTCCGTACTTGTTCGGAAATTGAAGGCCGGGCCAGCTCCACCATGGGCCGGGCTCCAGGTAGGGTTCTGACGACGGTTACTTTCCACTATGCTTGATGTGTTGGAAGCCAGGCTCTCCCGAGTGCTAAAAGAGTAAAAAGGTTTTGTTTGGTTTTGTTTGGTTTGGTTTGGAACATAAATAATTATATATTGAGCCCTAGAGGAAGAGCAAATGATGCAGTTAATGGGTTTCCTCTGTCGGTTCATCATGTCATGTATTTACCATCTCATACTGATTATTCACATATGCTCCTCCAACTTGGACTTCGGCAGCTTTCACAAGACATGTTATAATCAGCAGCATGCTGAATAAAGGGTTTTTATACAGCTAAGTAAATGTCTTCCCTTGCCTTTCACACTCAAGGAAACACCTTCAAGATCTGATGTGCTAGATGGCTATTGCGTTCGTTTTTAAAAAAGAATAGTCTTCATAAATATACACAGGTAGTGATTTCATTTCAGGCTTGAAACTCATTGATAGAACTGCTCCTGAATAAACTCCATAATTTTACCCTGATGATTTTGTTTTCATTCTCGAGTGGCAGATTTTTGACTTTGGCGGTGAACTTCAAGTAGGCCACTAGCCAGTATGCCACACTGATGGGAATAAAATTCTTTTTAAACACTTCATACCTCTGTTTCAAACATATAATGTTATAGTAAAAAATACATTCTATTTTCAGATAAGGAATCTTAGATTTTCCCTGTTTACATTGATTTGGTAGAAATATTTTATTTTTTAAAGGATTCTTATAGAACAGAGGTGGTTTAAAGGCTTTAGTATTTCGATTTCTCTTTTAGTTTTTCTAATTTAGAAATACTTGAAGCTATTTTATTGTTCCAAGAGGTTTATAACATTTTACATGTCAGATGTGTAGGGCAACAGCAGAAATAAGATTACTTGGCCTGATTGATCAGAACTGAATGGGTTTCACGTTCAAGGTCCTCAAAATGGTAGTAAGAAACATCAGCTTATAAAGAGGTGGAAGAAACCATAATGATGCTCAAAACATCCACTCTACTGGATAGATTCAAGATGTATAAAATATTCTACATGTGGGTCCCCATCACTGACATAGGGGACATCCTCACAGCTCACTTTCATTCCCATCCTAAACTGATAGCAATTTTGTCTGAACGTTATACCGTGGCAGCCGTTCCTGACAAGCTATTTCATCCTAACCCCCTTGTGGCCTTAAGTTTGCTTCTCATCAAAAAGCCAAGAGTTAATTGTTTAAAAGGAATGTTGTTCACTGGCTACCAAAAAGACAAATGGAGCCTTCCTGACTGCAGAGGGCACGTCTGGAAGGTTAATACATTCATAGAAGTAAGTTAAGTTCTCTCATGAGGCTTATCGTAAATCTGGGCGTGCCTAAAGAATACATCATCACTAAAGCAATGGAAAGTGCTAGACTTACCTACTTACCTGCTTTACACCTCCTCTAAGAAAATTCATCAGAGGTTTTCCAGGACTACAACTGAGGGTCAGGTGGAGGAAGGAAGAAGGGCAATAAACATGTAGAACCTCAAAGAGGTCACGGCGCGTTCCTTCAGTTTCATTCTTAATCACAACGATAACTTTTTATGGCATTTGACTTCCTCATCTTTAAAACAGGGCGAGTTATGTGTCACACCTACTCACTGAGTGACTCAGAAGAAGAAATAAGCAATAATGAGGAATCCGTACACCAAAAAGCTAGAGAAACACAAGCTATTTCTGTAGCACATCTGGCATCTGATCAATTAAGCAGCCACTGTGGGTAGGCTTGGGAATCTATACACTGCTAATGCCGTTTTATTTCTATGGGAAAATGCATTTTGAGGTCTCAGGGATCCACTTTTAAACCAGCTTTTGAGGCGGGAGTTTAATTTATCAAGACCCTACTGTCTTCCAGGCACCATCAACACACATCATCGCAACAGATGGTCTAAGGTAGGAGCTCTCTGTACTCAGACCACCCTTGACCACGGCCAACATGTTAATACTGATAAATACATAGAGCGTTCCAGTGTCTCCAAAGGGTATATCTTATTATTGCTGTGACACTGAGTACAATGTGCGACAGTCATATGGAAGGCTGTGGATATGATGGTGAAACAGTTCATGGAGATGGAAGGTTAGCAGTAACAATAGACTCCCAATTTAAAATTCCTTACTTTTTTAAAGAGAACTAATGGAGTACGACATTAAAAATAACATCTCAGGAATTTATAGGCAGCAGAACGGAACCATAGGCCCTGCTGCGCCTCTTGCTGCACACGTTGCCCTTGGACCCACACTCGGACAGCACGGTACGCTGTGCAGACACATCCCTGGCAGCCTGACTCCCTCTGATTCTCATATTGTGGTTTCAACCGGTTTTGGGCCTCAGATTTGGAATAGCAGGCTTTGCATGTCGGGATTTTTCATTTGCAATATTAGATCTCACAGCATATTTTAAGTTTCTGCCTTGTTTCCTTCTCTCAGTGCCCTTTGGTTCCCGACAAGAGGGACTGAAGACTTTTGGAAATGTGGCTGAACGTGACCTCTGAGCCAACACTGAAGACTGAGAGTATGAAGATCATCTTTTCTGATTCTGATTTTTCTCTTTTTTTTGGCAGCGGGGACGAGGTTAGATCGTAGCTGCTCTGTCAATTACTGAAAAATCTGAGTAAACGGCCCACTTAAGATTCCTGTATCTCGCAGTGGTGGAGAGGTGTCAGCGTGATAATACTATACGGCTAAAATACTCCTCACACTGGAGAATAAAACTCCCTGTAACTCAAATATTCTCCTTCGCAGACCATCTTCATACATCAGAAAGGTAAATTAGGGCATTTACTGAAGTATAGGGAGATACTTCAAATGAGATAAAATAAAATTTTAAAGTAGTTTAAAAATAGATATAGAAAATAAGTTTGTCACCCAGCTTCTAACCAAAGGATATTAATTACGAAAGGGGTAAAATTAGGAATTGTTCTGTAGATTCTCTAACTGCATGAAATTTACGGGTGATCTACCTTTTTCTGTAGAGAAAATTCCACCTAATAACACTGGGCAGATACGTAGCTCCTGGGTGAAGACTGTCTCCTTAGGAAGACCTTTTTCTTCTACCAGGACAATGCATTTGACCTTGACTACATTATTAAAGCAATGCAAATAAACTTAGTTCAAGAAATAATCCCATTCATAAATTCCATATTCTGTACTCCAAATCTAGAGATAATAAAATATATCCTGTGGAGAGATTGGTTCAATGATTACATGAACGTTTCTTTTTACTTGTTCCCAAACAAAAACTTTCAATATTATGCCGTGGTAAAGTTTTGAGTTAGAACCCACTAAACTACTCTCAAGGTCTCCTTAGCAGCTATCTCTGGAGTATTGCGGTTTTCCCTCCGTGGAGGTCCAGGGGCCAAGAGGGCCAAAGGAATTGCTGGAAACTGGTGCAGAGAAGCATCAGGCAGGGAGAGGCTATATAATAAGAAACAGTAGAGCATAACGTCCAGGCAAATGACTCACACCTTCCATAAGCGATGGTACTGAACTTCTACCATCAATAGCAGACTTTCACTTATGCTTATCTGGTATCCCTACTAGGAAATCAAGAGGAAAAACAAGAGTTGAAGAGGGAAGTAGAGAGAAAAGAATATATAAAATAATTGGTTAAGATTCGATTTGGGATTAAAAAATATTTAGCAAAAATTACGTCTTAGAAAAGTCACTTAATAGGCCAGTAGTTTTCAGACTGAGTGCCATGGCCCCCCGTAGTCTCTTAGGGTCCTTGAGGGATGGGCAGAGGAGATCTGGGGCTCCTGGTCTCCACTTTAACCAGAGTGCCATCTCTGTGGTTTGTTTAGACATTAGACTTCCACACATGTGTTAACTTGGAAAAGAAGGTTATACGACAATAAAAAAAAAAAAATAAAAAAATAAAAAGAACTAGCCCTTTAAGAAATAATAAAGGCCCAATAAGGGACAAACAGAATAACGATTCCCAATTCTGATTTTGGGATGCTCTGTCCCCAAATTATCCATAGATAGAGTGAAATGATTACAACATAACTCATTTTAACTCTTAATAGTTAAAATAAATATATGAACTACATAATCATATCTTGGACTTGTTAAAATAATAAATATTGTAAAAAGTTGGGAATCACAACTAATGGGAGATGTCAATCTCTCAATGTTATTTCTGCATCTCAGAGTCACCAATCTGGAGTAGAATTTAGAAGCAGAATCAGGTCCCAAGTTGCTCTTGGAAGAGAAGGAAGAATTAAGGAGAAAAAAGGAAAGTTGCATAGACTCCCTTTTGTTTTCGAAACCCCTGAACCACTTCACTGCATTGAACGTGGCCATCGGGCACTGCACACTCTTAGCTGTCAACCTCTGCTGAATTACCAGCACCTACTGAAAAGAAGACACCACGGTCAGCATGCCTAAATGGTGTTAGTTCTGCAGGAGGAGAAAGAAAAGTGCTGGCACATGCTTTGAACTAATGGCGCACAGGCCCCTGATCTTTATGTAACAGGAACAGGTTCCATGTGTCTGCAGACTTTTGAGCGGTGAGAGGAAGGTGTATGAGAGCAAGGGGCGAGGGCGGCATAAAAAGTCGGGATTAAAATAGTAACAGGCTTCTAGATCCACTGGAAAGGTTTTGAAATTGGCTATTATATTCTCATTAGAAGGACTCCCCATCCTTGAGTCAATCAAGTTATTCCCAACCCCTACCTCCCACCTCCACACTGACTACTCATTCTACTCAAAAAGTTACTATTTTTGAAGGATCTTTAAAAAACCCTTCCTTTATCAGCATGGTGGCAATATAAACATCAAAGGAAAAATACTGGGGAATGTTGGTCTTAGATTGGATGGGAAGGGGCCAACCCACCAGTCCAGATTGGTGATCTCTACAGCTGCAGAAACATTTGTTTCAATTCCTGAAAAAGAAGTCAGAAACAGGCTGTTAACAATACAACTCACACAACTCTTAACCCTCATTCACAGAACTGAGACTGTGAAATCAGAAACCTTCCGAGTTATTTTATAAAGCCCCAGGCCCCGGTAGGTGTATGTGTGTGCAGAGAGATGCCTCTTCCTACCGTGGGGAGTTGAATCCACTGTCCACCGTGATACTGCTGCTGTCCATGCTGTCCAGACGTGCCGAATGGGTGGCCCTCTGGTTGCTGCTGCTGTCGGTTTCCTTTGGGGCAAGGAGGGTGAGGTTCTTCTCAAATTTCCTCTGCAAGTCTCTTTCCTTCTCCCTTTCCAGGAGCCACTGCATGGTTCCCACATCGTCTCTGTTTTTCTCCTCCTCTGTGTTCTTGTTTGCCCCTTCCTCAGACTCATCGTCATCAGAGACGTTGTAATAGTCAAAAGAGGCCTCCTGGTTCCCCACGGACTCCTGCTGGCGCTGGGAAGCTGGCATGGCTTGTGCAGCCGAGGTCCCTAGGGACGGCTCCAGTTTCTCACATCGGCCTGGCAGTGTGTCCGCAGGTGTCTTCGGGTGAGATTTGAGGACAGACAGGCTTGATTTGTGATAGCTGTTTACAGACAAGGTGCTGTGAAGAGGTTTGAACAGTGTGTCTTTGCTGAATATCTCTTTCCTCTTGTCCAGGCTGCTGGGCTCGGCACTGTGATGCTGGATGAGGCGTCCATTGGCAATCCCTTCGGCCACAGCGCCCGAAGCCGCTGGGCCCCCGCCCGGCCCCTTTGGCGACTCCTCCTTGTGCCCTACAGGCTCCCTGGAGGGATGCGGGGCCTGCCTGTCCGACAGAGGCAGCTTTTTCACCCCTTCCGCCAGGGTCAGAGTGTCATGGTCCTCTTTGTTCTTTCCCAGAGGTGATGGCGCCGTGAGCACCGTCTCGCTGGAGGTGTTACACTGGAAATAGTCATCTGCAGCTGTTTTTGTTGGACAGGAGTTGAGTTCACCAAAGGATGGCAAACTCTCGGGCAGTTTGCCTGGCTCCAAGAGGCTGCAAGCATTGGGAGGTTCCTTGCTGCCACTGACTATTTCTGGAATACACACCTCCTTGTAGCTTGTGGACGAAATGTGAGCCCTTTGATGACTGACAGTCTGTGCAGGCCTTAAAGTACTGTCGTCAATGTAGGATTGGCTGGGGGTCTGGTCGTCTTGGCTACAGCCTTCAGCCAGGTCTTCAGGCAGCCCCAGAGAAGAAGCACCCAGAGGACCTTTGGAGTTATCCATGGATCTGGACCTCTCCTTGGCCTTGTTGGATCTCTCATTCCTGGACCTTCGGTCCTGGGTATGGCTGTGGCTTCGGTGCACTTTTGAGTGGGAGCTTCCCCGGGAAGGCTCAGGAAAAGGCATCTCAGTTCTCCTTTTGGCCAGTTCCCCAGACACGTCCCATTCTGGAGTCATGGGGAAATGAGACTCAATCACGTTCGCATTGCTATGCATGATGAAGTTATCACCTTTGTGTTCGATGATGAAGCAGCCTTCCCGGGGAGCCCTGGTAAGAGGATCGCAAAAATCATACTCTCTTTCACCCGGGATGTCCAGATGGGAGCCATCTGACGGGTCTCCTTTGGACACTCGCGTCTTGCTGTGCGACCGAGACTTTCCGTGGGACTTGCGATGAGTCCGACTCTTTTTACTTCTTCCGCTGTGATGGGCGGAGGACCCGGCTTTACTCCTATGCGCTTTCTCTTCTTCAAGTTTCTTCATTAGTGCAGTGTGCCTCATGACATTTTCCACGGTCAAGTCCGGGTTAATACGCCTAATGATCTCCATTTCCACCTCCCGAGGGATAGTAGTTGGCGTGTCCTCATCTCGCAGGGGCCACTCTTCGGGAGGAAACTGGGCAGAAAAATTGGCTAGCTGTTTGGTCTTGTCTTTTTTAAAACTGAGCCGGAATAACTTGAGTCCGAATTTTTTGGACTGCTTTTCACTATCTTTAGGTTTGGAGAGAGTTTCCGTCTTATACGAAAAGTTGACAGTATTTTTGCTCTTTTCAGTGGGTGGCACCTGGCAGAGGGAAGGAGGGCAGTACGGGTCTTTGCAGTCCTTGGCGGTCTTCCTCTGCAGGGTGGCCGTGTGCACGCCGTGCACATCTTCCCTACAGCAGTGGCAAGAGTCGCAGTGGTTCCTGGGCAACGTTCTTTCCCTGACGCAGCCTGAGGCAGAGGGCGTGATGGTCCCGGGCTGGGGAGAGGTACACTGAGACCTGTCAGGTATCCTCTCATCCAAATGGTACCATTTACTGTTAGTTCTTATGAGGGAAGGAGTTATGAAATAAGTCTGTGGGGTTACGATGAAGTAGCCATCTGGAGTCGGGTAGATCTTCCGCTCCCGGACCAGCGTGTTCAGCGTATGCCGGAGAATTTCTTGGCTTGGGGTGGGAACACCTGAAACCCAAAGGACACACTCGTGAGAATGAAGAGGGGACGTGGTGTTGATTCCGGAGTTTTCCAAGTATGCTCTGGACTGAATGGTCCCCCTGCCAACCCGATCCCCACGTTCAAGCCCCGAACCCCAATGTGACAGTAATAGGACGTGGGGTGTTTGGGAGGTGATGAGGTCATGAGCGTGCAGCCTCTGTGATGTGGCGTTATGAGAAGAGCAGAGACTAAGCCCTCTCTCTCTCTGTCTCTGTGTGACTTGAGGGTACGGCTGTCTGCAAAACAGGAGGAGGGCTCTCACCGGACACCAAGCCTGCAGGCGCCTTGGTCTTGGACTTCCCCGTCCCCAGAGTTGTGAGAAATAAATGTCTGTTCTTTCAGCCCCCCAGTCCATGGTACTTTGTTACAGTAGCCCGAACGGACTAACACAGAATCTAACTAATTTTGCAAGCCTCTAAGTAGTATCAGACAGAAACTAAGCAGGATTCACAGGTGTTCATTGAGTTTAGTGTGAATCCTAGTTTTCTCTGATAACTCTTACGGAATATTACTACCAACAGAACAGGAAAATATAAAGGCTGGGAAGAGAGACAGGGATGATAGATGGCGTTAGGTGGCTGCTGTTGTTAAAAACCTTTACTGAACTGAATCGTTAAAGACAGAAATTTTTTTTTGGCCTCCCGGCATGTGGGATCTTAATTCCCCAACCAGACATTGAACCTGTGCCCCCTGCAGTGGAAGCACTGAGTCCTACCTAACCACTGGACTGCCAGGGAAGTCCCAAAGACAGAATATTTTTAAATGAAGAAAAAACGTTTTCGGTATATATAAATTTACAAAAAAGACTTTTTCAATAAAAGCAACTGGGGAAACAGGGTTGAAATAGCCATCTTGGTATTGAAAAACAAATCTAAAATACATAGAGGCTACCACGTACACTTGGAGTTACTCCACGCACTCATTTTAAGATTAAGTTTACTTAATAAACTTAATTTTATAAATTATATCAAAGGGCAACTAGACTTGACCATTGTTTAGGATGTACTCTCCAATTCTGAAATCATCACCTTCAAATTTGAAAGTGATTGGTGGAATTCAGGTGAGAAGTTCATCCTTGTTGGCAGGAGCCAGCAGGATGAAGGTGGTTTCTCAGATTCATAACCAGAGAGCTCTAATAAATACACCAGAGAAAGCTTAGAGGCTCTACATCTATCTGGTCACTGAGTCCCAAACTGCTGTCTTTGCTAGAATAGAAATTCCAGAAAAAAATCACAGATATTCCTTTGTACAGGGACTGATATCTTTTTCAAAGGGTTTTGTGTGCACGTTTAAGCATTGTCTACTTTGAGATAATTAAGAACATACATTCTTAAGAGAGTATAAATTCTCTAGGCTGTAGTGCATTTATTTTATTTCTTTCGTATTCTCCCTGCCTCAGTGCCAGGCAAATCATGGGTGATAATATTTCTAAGACTGACCTGAATGATGTCATTTGGAAATAGGTCAGGTTGAATCATCCTGGCAATATTCAACCGTGTCTGACCCACAAAAATGGCAATTTCAGTGGAGACTGAAAGCACGCCACCCCCCATTCATATGTTTAAGTCCTAAACCCCAGTACCCCAGAATGTGACCTTATTTAGACATGTGGTCTTTATAGAGATAATCAAGTTAAAATGAGGTCATTAGAGTGAGCCCTAAGCCACTATGACAAGGGGAAATTTGGACACAGAGACATCACAGAGAAAAGAAGATGTGAAGAGACCCTGGTAGAAGGCAGCTAACTACTAGCCAAGGGGAGAGGCTGAGACAGATTCTCCCCTCACAGCCCTTAGAAGAAAACAACCAACTCTGATGATACTTTGATTTGGGACTTGTAGCAACCAGAACTGTAAGACGAGCCACCTGTACTTTGTTATGACTGTTTTAGAGAACTACTACAGCTGGTATCACCGTAGGCAACTTGCTTAACCTCTCTGAGCCTCTACTGACTGTCATCAAAATGTGGACAATAATAGTACCTACCTTCAGAGGGTTGTTGTGAGTTTAAATGAGTAATTTAGTGTATGAAGAACACTGCCTGACACAGTGAGCGCTCATAAATGTTAGCTATCAGTAGTCTCAACTTTGGGTCAGGATCCATGGAAACCCCTGTTACCTTCCAAGAACACTGTGTAACAGCCTAGAACAGCTGGGTAAGCTGAGAAGTTTAGGCTCCCCCAATCCTTCCAAAACTATGAAAGTGAAATACAAAACCACTGGAAACGGCCTGCAGTTCTCAAGGGGAGAGTCCATGTATGAGTAAGTTACATACCCATTTTTGTCACCCTCGTCAGAGGGCACCCATTGTGATCAAGGCAGAAAAGATAACACTGCTTCTGAGTGACGTATTGTTTAATATAATTAATTTTTGAGCTGCACGGTTTCCTTTTTGTCTAAGGTTCTACTCTGGAGCAATGTATGTTGGTTTTTATGCAAATGTATGTTGGTTTTTAAGGCTGGTATAATAACAAATTTTTTTTAAAAAATTTAAGGTAGTTTCTGTACAAAACAAAAATGAGTGCCAATTGAATTAGTGATACAAGCCAAGCTATATATTTGCAATTCGTGAGAGCCAACATCATAGAGAAAATGCTTGCCCATGAGAGGAGCAACTTAAAAGAAGCTTCTACGCCCCTGCTAGTAACACTACTAATATTCTGCTTCTGCTGAACAACCTCAGGGGGCACGAGTCACACAGAAATTTTTCAAACAATGGTAAGGCTCATTTAGAAGAATTCATGATTGACTGGTTTACGACGCTGCTATAAAAAAGGAAAGCTGGGCTTCCCTGGTGGCGCAGTGGTTGAGAGTCCGCCTGCCAATGCAGGGGACGCGGGTTCGTGCCCCGGTCCGGGAAGATCCCGCGTGCCGCGGAGCGGCTGGGCCCGTGAGCCATGGCCGCTGAGCCTGCGCGTCCGGAGCCTGTGCTCGGCAACGGGAGAGGCCACAGCAGTGAGAGGCCCGCGTACCGCAAAAAAAAAAAAAAGGAAAGCTGAAGAGTTATTCATAAAAATAGCTATTACTATAAAACAAAAATTTCACTGTATTATAGAATTTGCTGATTGGAGACCAACCAAGTGCTGATCTTAGAAAACTCACAAAACTATATGGAATCATGACTACAATGCAATCATGTTTACTTACCACTTTCTGAGTGTTCCCAAATGAAGGAATAAGAAAGAGTTTCCAGAGAGAATTTACATTTAAAGTTTTGATGTCTTGGATTTTCAAGTGGATCAATCAAATAATGTTTAATTTGAAAAAACAAATTAGAAACATTCCCTGTCCAATCCATTTTCCATACCCCTACCTGTGAGTTTTCAAAGCTTTACCTGAAAGTCACTGATATTTATGATTATTATTTTATTATTAAGCTCCAGTATAATGACTGGTATCTTCAACTGTCTATGAAACCCAGGATTCCACTGGAAATCTGTAGGGCTCAACTGAAAAGGGGATGTGGCTGTGATAGGGATTGTCAAGGTCTGCATATTCCATCACTTCCGTATTCTAGTCCCAAAGGTCATCATGAGTTTGGATTTTGATAGTGTAAAGAGCAAAGGTAAGCTTTACACTCAAATAGGGCTGGAATCTGACCTCTCTGCTTTCCTACACTTTACATCTCTCAAAGCAAAAACAGATATTTCAATATACTGCATGCCAATGCGAGGTTATTTAGACTTATATACCACTTTAATCTTGCAAATCTGACAATTGTTGGAACAGAGCACATATGTACATGTTCTGTATGGTAAGCATTGTAGACTGAAAACTTAATGGGCTTCTTCGGATGATTTCTTCGTGTTTGTGAAGGACATTGGCTGAGGGGGAATTCAGTAGGAAGCGATGTAAATGGATGAACTGGAGACAGAACACAGTATAGATAATGTCAGTCTCCAGCAAACTCGAAAGTCAACTTCAAGCCCATAAGCAGACTTACAGGTCTAATTCTATTCCCCTGAGGGTCAGCTTTCCTCCCGGGAAGATCCAGGTGTAATAACTTAACAAGTAGTAGTCCGATTTAAACGATCACTCTGGATGGATGGGGACCTATTTATTTATTTTAAAATTTTATTTACTTTTAATTGAAGTATAGTTGATTTACAATGCTGTGCTGATTTCTGCTGTGCATAGAAGTGATTCAGTTATACATATATATACATTCTTTTTCATATTCTTTTCCATTATGGTTTATCACAGGATATCGAATATAGTTCCTTGTGCCAGATGGTAAAACCTTGTTGTTTATCCATTCCATATATAATAGTATGAGGACCTATTTAGAAAGCTGAGAAGCAGTAATTATTCTTTTCAAACCTTTAAAAAATATTCTTATTTCTATAATGTGAACTGGTGTATAAAAGTTGTTTTCAAAAATTTAACCAATATAGGGCTTCCCTGGTGGTGCAGTGGTTGAGAGTCTGCCTGCCGATGCAGGGGACGTGGGTTCGTGTCCCGGTCCGGGAGGATCCCACGTGCCGCGGAGCGGCTGGGCCCGTGAGCCGTGGCCGCTGAGCCTGCGCGTCCGGAGCCTGTGCTCCGCGGCGGGAGAGGCCACAGCAGTGAGAGGCCTGTGTACCGCAAAAAAA